TCTCTCTCTCTCTCTCTCTCTCTTTCTCTGGAAACTATATTTTTTATCCTGTCCATTATTGCCGCTATTCATTGATAACGCGCCGCATGCCTTGATATTGTGAATCTGTAAAAAAATATCGTCGCACCTTCCGTTTCATACAACTCACGACTCTCGTTCCGGATGTTGCCGTTCCGATATTTATACATTTTTTTTTGCTTTATTTTTTTACTTCTTTTTTTTTTCTTGTTAATCTAACACCGTTCTCGCGTTCGTTATCTCATCTCGACGTCATCCGTTTCGCTCTCTTTCTCTCTTTTTTTTTTTCTCTGTCTCCGAATTTTCTGTACAAAACTGAAAATCTCTCTGGCACCTCCCCGTACCCCGCATCCCCGAACGCCTTCTTCCTAACTGCGTGCACGCAACACACTGTAGCCAAGGGAAGAACGAATATCGAGTTGCGGGAGCAATTCATACTAGCGGACGGCGTTAGCCAGACTATGACGGCCTTCCGGTCCAAGCCGAGCCCGACCTCGACGCTGCAGCGTACGCAGATATCCTCCAGCACTGCGGGACCGATCACCAAGGTAAGAAGGGTCACCGTCGTGCGATCGACGCGAACGCGACGCAGCACGTACGGTACTCTTTCTTTTTTTTTTTTCTTTTTTTCGTTGAACATTTTGTTTCTCTGCCGTTAAAGTTTTTAATCGAACTGTAGAATACTCGCAAATTTTATACCGGTCAAGGTATTATTAGACTTCAACTTGCCGTTCAGGCATCACATTTGGATAGTTAAGTTGCACGTACACATTTATCTGGACAAGTATCGATGCCTCGCTCGTTCAACTTCGTGTCAGCGATTCATGTAAGTACAAGACCAATTTCTTAAACTCGTCAGCCTAGCCGTTTGACTTTCGCATGAGCATGGCAGTCTTCAGACAGTTGCGTTGTTTGAATATGTAATGGCAGCTAGAAATAGACGACGCTTATCTATTCTCATCATTTGTCCTGTCAAAGCGGTTCGACTGCACCAGACATTTCGACAAGTCCGTCGTGTCTGTATGTCTTGGACACTTCGTTCAACCTCAGGAGATGCGATTTCGTAAATTTTTTACCTAATCTCCTCCGCAAATCCTTCCCTACTTATCGTGTCACGTGGCGCGAGGAGAATACACTTTCCAGTTCCACGCAATTATCTTATCCTTGAGAAAACCACGGGAATTTACAGAAACATTGTTACGCTAAATTGTAGGGAAAGTTTTATACGACTTTTTTTATCCGACCGGTTGTTGTGTTCAAAGGGAAACGCCAGAATCGTACATCATTTTAGTGTGGAGATAGTAGCTGTTCATTTCAGGAATATTTTTCTCGTTTGGAGCGAGCCTCCCGATAAAACGGGTCGCTGCGATTGCATGAGGGAGCTAAAGATTTTCGTTTGTGGTGTAGCGGAGGAGTTTATGAGCCAGCTGATGCCGATATTTGAGAATTTGAGGCAAAAGGAGGACCTTCCGTGCTCGTATCCCCTTCACATGCACGCCCCCTCTTATCATTGGGTAAATAACGAAGATTTTCTCAATTTTTTCTATTGCCGTTCGTGTGGTGTTTTTACACGTTGACACACTTGAGTTTGGGTTTTTCGGTGTGACCGCAACACTTGATTCTGATGTGACTCGAGTCGATTGACGGTGCATTTTTATATAGACTGTCACTGTATCTGCTTGTCTTCGTCTGCTAGTTTGTCTCTTTGTTACAAAGATTTTGATAAACGAGTGATTATGCATGATTGCCGAGGATCGTGAACAAGTAATAATAATAAGTAATTATTCATGATTTCCAAATTGAAAATTGTAAATGTTTCCAATTGATGATTTGATAAATGCATGTCAGGAGAACTGTGTCAACTTGAAGTAATGCGAAGAAAAATGGATAGGAATAGAGGCTTGGAAAGAAAGATCTGCCTTATGTTTATCCATTTTTCTAGAAGGATCATGTGATGAGGAACTTTCGTGTCTCGAACGTAAATTTATTTTGCGATCTGGCACTGTTCGGGATACAGCACACTCTACATTAATTTTCGTTGAACGCAGCATCTTTTTATCTCATTCACCACATCACTTTACATCGAATTGATTTTTTTTTTCGTTAATCGTCGAGTATCTGATTTTGTCAGAATTAATTTGGACGCCTCTAACTAACTCCCTGCCCCTTGCCCTTCGGTAGAGAATGATTGACACAATTCCTCTTTGAGCATGGGAATGCTCTTTCGCTAATTATTATTTCACTTGGAACCTTTTGTAATAATATTCAATTTCGAACAACAAGCTCGTGTTAAATGTACGAAAACTTTATACAAAATCGATTTCGTGATTCTTTCTTGTTTCTTGCATTCAAAATGTAATAATTATTATCGAGAACACTTGCAAGATTACAGCTGTAACTTGAAATCAAATTTTGCAAATCAATTCCGCGAGGAGAAACATGCAATTTATTCGTATAACGAACTCACATCGGGAAGACGTAGTTAATTTATTGAACGTGAATATGCATAACGAATGTCGTATCCTGTATTGCTGCGTGCGTAGTGGCATTGATTGGAGATACCTCGAATCACCATAAGCTACTGTATTTCTCCCAACTTCTTCTGGTAAGTTTGCATGCCATCTCGCTTCACTTGTCACTCGACTTTGGTAAAAGGTAGCATTTTTATTTTATTCAAGCTTCCTATTTCAGTAGTGACAGCGTTTCGACGAGTATAATGGACCGCAGACCGGTATATTATTACTAGTTCGCGGCTGTGCACAGGTTTGAGTTGCTTGTTGAAGTATTAGCAATAACAGTAATGCATTTATGTAACAATTTATTTTTTGTAAAATTTATTTTTTTATTTATTAAACGGATTATAGAGTTTATAAAATAATTGACTAGAATTTGTGCTGCAGTAGTTTTACATTTCCTCGTAGAATGTCTTTTTCACAATAGTATTAGAGAAGAGAAAGCACACGTATGTATTCTCTAATTATTATAAATTATTAATATATTTAATTTTATTTTATTATAAATGAACAATTTATGGAAGATAAACTGTTTATCATGTATTACAAGTAGTACATATTTTTCAGCAGCTTAAAAAATTACTTGCTAAAAGCGTTTTAATAAACTGCGCGCAGCGTAACTTGCACACAGCAAATATTTGCAACTATTAATAATTCATTAATTGTATGTTGTTTATGGCGGCAGAGAACGCGTAACGCAAAACTGTACTCATCCGATAGCTGTACTGAACGCAAATTAGATGTACGATGGCTTTTTATGCTGTTGCACACATTTACATACATTTACATTCTTTATCAATGAAATTTCCTTCACCATCTAGGTAAGAGAACGCAGTGCTCGCAGCGTACCTATGGGTCAATCGCGAGCATCGCGCTCATCCTTGAGCGCCGGCACGCCGGACAGCCTTAGCGACAATGAAAGTTCCTTCAAGTTATCTGGTAGGAAAACCAGCACGCCTTATAGATCTACCGTGACGCCCGGTAAGCGTTTGCTCTAAATTAGAAGCTGAAAAAATTATATCACTGTCTACAATCAACTACATTGTGATGCTTACAGGTGGTAGCCGTCCATCTAGCAGGCCGGCCTCAAGACCTGCCTCCCGACCTGCCAGTAGACCGAGTAGTCGACCAGCGTCGAGACAGGGAAGTAAACCGCCTAGTCGATACGGATCCACGCAATCCTTGGATGGTACGAATAATTCACTAATAATTTTTTTTAGATTTTTATATTTTTTTATTGTTTGTCGCATGTTTCTCACCTACAAGTGATTCTGTAAAATCATCTCTGATCTCGTTACAGATGATTCATGCACGCCGAGTCGCATCCCGCGAAGAACAGTCGTGGGTGGCTCCGGCAACACTCCGACGTCCAGTAGACACAACAGCATATCTGGTAGGAAACTCACGACTCCGATGAATGGCTCGAGCTCCCGACCCCGCACCCCGACAGGATTGATCAGTCCCGCCGGCGGAGTGTCCTCCAGGTTTGTAGTCCTCGGCGCGCGTCACCTCCCACTTGAAACAAATAGATCAAGGACTAACTCGCATTAGTGTGCCTTAAATAGAAATATGCATAGGCAACATGTATAACGTGTGCATAGATTAACGATAAACGATCAGTAGTATCTCATCTTACGCGAAACTAATTGCGATGGTTCGAAGAATGTTTCGATATGTTATTCCCAAGGAATCGATTTTTACTCATGTCTTTTTCTACCACCGAATGATTTTTCTCCATTTTGTGTTTTGTTTTTTTATACCATTTTTCTCGCTTTTGATTTTTGAAAATTCCAACATAACAACAGTTACATTACGTACATTGTGACACATACCACGTGTCGATACTGCCAATATATTCAATTACGAAGGACCGAGATTTGACGAGGATACGTGATGTATTACACATCAATTGATCGAACCACTTATCACATCTCGTGTTAACCGCAAAACATTCACGCGACTAACCGATCGATTAGAATATCGACGTAATCATTAACAGATCTGGTTAACAACATTTTTTAGGTTTGGTTCAATCCATAGAGCTTCGAGCATTCCAACCCTGACTGGTGTCGGAACACCGATCAGGTAAAGCAGATTAACGAATCGGCAGTTTCAATTAAAACTGGTTCGGGAAAGCGATTGTTCTGCGGCTTTTATTTTGCGCTTCGCATTTGCCATTTTACATGTTATCATTTTACAAATCAAAATTACAGTAACAAACAAAATGCGAAGTGCAAAATGGAACGCCGTAAGATGTTTTGTGGTGTATAGTGTTTTTTTCTTCTGGAAAAGATGGTGGTTTTGGTCATGGTGACGGTGATACATTATGCTTACTTCTTCATCTTACTTCAATTTCCGATAAATGAATCGTATTTTCTTTTCTATTTTTTCCCCTTATAGTGTTTACTACTTTATAATTTCTTCAATCGATAAATCAATCGTATTTTCTTTTCTATTTTTTCCCCCTTATAGTTTACTCCTTTATAATTTCTTCATCCACTTTCTGCGCGGTATCGAAACAAATTTCATTGTCATATTCATGCAAAGTAGCGTGCAATAAAATGACATTTCGATGGTTAATGCCTTAGCCGCTCTAGGATACCCGTGTATGTGGGGGTGGATATTAAATCTCCTCAGTCGACCACCAGCAATATGTCGACTCATTCAACACAAAGCAACCATTCTACGATTTCTACTGATTCCACTGGGTATGGCTGAACTTGGGCTTTCGCATGTGTAACCCGTTTTCCGTTTTTTCTTCTGTACTTATCGAACGTTTTGCTTTGCCTTTTTCTTCTCGCATCATTATTATCGTTCATGCATGTTACACAATGTTCATTATTTAATATTTTTTGTTTTTATTTATGTTAATATTTAATTTTGCAATTGTTACATCGCATGGTCTTATCGAATTATCTGATTTTAGCAACTTTTTGTTTTCTTCTTCTAACTAGCAATGCAGTCAAAGTATTTATAACACAAAGTATTGCAGTTTTGAAGTTGGCTTTTATTCTTACAAGTTTGATGAAGTGCTTGTATGATAACCGTGTTATACGAGCTTGTAACTAACAACTTTTTGTCTGCTAGGAGCAGTTCCGTGTGCACAAACTCAGCAACTAACATACCAACAGCCGTAAAGCAAGCTAGGTAAACATCAATCTTAATTCAGAATTTTTTTTACTACTTTTCCTGACACGTCCTGAAAATTTGTCTAAAGAAAGGTATCAGTACCGATTTGCATTTGAGCAGCTTCGACAGTGTTCGACAGTAATGCGCGCTTGTTTACGACGATCGTTTGTTTCAGGGTACGCACACCGTCCAGTGGATCCAGCACACCGCTGCCGCCTTCGAAGTTATCGAGGAAACCCTCCGGTGCTTCCGACACGTCCGTGTCGGGAACAACGCCGAGCACACGGAGAGGAAAACCCACGCCGATCGAGCAACGCGCGCCGTTCCGATTGTAATAGCTTATTAACGGAAATGTAGCTTATAAAACTCGCAAATTATGCCTGAACATAGAATAAATATATAAAAGAAAAACATCCCCGCTGCATATTAAAGGATGACCGCAAGGTATTACAGGGAACATATTGTTATTATATGATAAGAGAGAGAAATATGCGCGTGATGCGCGCACGCTAAATCGACTGGATCGAAATTTTTCATAGAAGGCAAATGAGGAATATATAAATTATGATATAATTTTTATCATTCTGTTGTATTTCGCCAAGTACTGAATGCCATTTAAATTATGAAATACCAATGAGTGTTTGATACTCTCTTAAAGTAAGGGATGAACGAGTTAGGGGAGGTTTATTTATTTCATGCTCGCGTTAGAAAGTGCTTAAAGCGTCTATCTAGTTTATAATAACGCATGGGAGCGAAGTAAATTATTGTTATAAATACTTTAACCACGGTATTGCCGAAAAAGTGCAGGGTTAATGCGCTATAACTGAAAATATTTCGGCGAGATATTTCATATCTCCGTCGACTCTCTTGATTAAGGACAATACTACTAAAAAGATTTTATTATAAAAAGATCAGCATTATATGTATTATAATTACGCTTATGTTTGAAGTATAATTAGATGCGTGTAATTACTTTTAGCGTAGTTTGCTCATTTCCCGCACGCATGCCTTTGCGTGTTTTATACCGTCGCGTAAATTGTCCGAGGGTTTTCTCGGTGAAACTTTGACCCATATAATTGAGTAAATTGTATACTCGAAGACATTAATTTATTTAATATTTTCTGCTTGACTTATGTATATTAGTCATAAGACGTAATTAACGTCTAACGCGCATTTGTTAAAAAAATGAGAAAGAAACTTTGTATGCGTTTCTCGATTAGGCAATCGACATTCATTTTTGTTATCCGTTTCGCAAATTGCCGCACATATTGGACTAGTCGTATATTTGTAAAAATCAGATTGAATCTTTTCTTGTTTTATTTTCTTTTTTTTTTGCATTATGCAGCCAATTGTATAAGAGAATTATTCTATGTGTAATCTATAAATATTGATTGATTTTAACAATCTGTTTAAGAGATATATACATATATATATATATACATATTACTTCGAGGAATATTTTTAACGTCCTTGCGAAACGGAATATCTTGCAGTTTTGTGAACAACTACGACAGTAATCAAACCTAGTTTACGATTACGCACAAGTTTAACCCTCGAACGGTCGTAGCTGAAAAGCATAATTTTATAGGCATTGATTTTTAAAGTAATGTTAAAGTAATGTCTATGAAATTCTCTTAATTAGAACATGCCAATTATCAATATGAAATGTTCAATGAAGATGGTTTAAATTGTGGATTTCACTGACGGAGCGAGATATTAAATTTAAAAAAATTTACGCCCGTTCCAGGGTTAACACGCGATTCGCTTTTGTTATGCGTTTGCGAATCGATTTATTAATATATAAATAAATAAATAATGATTATTATATAATTATGTATCTGTGTAATTATATAATAATTGCTGATTATAATTGATTAACGTGAGATTTAAGAGTTCAGGGGAACATACCTAACAGCGTTAAAATATTAAATAAAGAAAAAATTACGTGTGAATAGCTAAGTAAAATATATTCCGTTGCGCGAAGTGGCCTGTTAGGTGACGGGTAGAAAAGAAAAACTCTGAGAAAAAAAAGACATTTCCATTTTTTTTACATGTATACTTTTAGACGCGATTAATATATAACGAGATACGACTCGCTGCCTCTTTATAAATGTTACGTAATGCGATTAATCTTATTAACAACTTCTCAGCGTACGATTTTTTGTTTCTTTTTCACTTACCGAGAAGTGCTGTATCGATGCTAATAATGCAGTGATAAAGAGAAATATAACAAACAACACGCACACGTATGGTATTTCAGTGAAAAGCATACTCTCGTCCCAACTTTCTTTTCTATTTTTTT